TATACCTAAACGACGGAGCTAAATCTGGAGTTTAAGAAGTGGCCGACGATTAAAATCAGGTACGTAATTTAAAATTTGCCTATTTAACTTTTAGCAACTTCATGCATGCTTCTTTTCTACTCTTAATCATCCTATAACCCTGGCATAAAAATGCCATTACACGTCACACCTAAAGTCTTGCTCTAATCAAAAACTAACCTTTTACAGCCAAAAGTCGTAAAATCGAACCATTTTGCGCCGAAAAACGCCTTAAAATCAAATAATCGTGGCATTAAAGCCTAAATCGCACATTTTGGCAAACTAATTGCCTAAATCAACACATTTTGGCCAAAGGCCTTAAAATCAACCATTTTGGCGTCAATCGCCTAAATCGCACATTTTAGCAAATGAATTGCCTTAAAATCAACAATTTTGGCTTAAAGCCTTAAAATCAACATTTTTGGCAAAATGCCTTAAAATCAATCATTTTCGGTCTAAAACCTTAAAATCAACCATTTTAGCGACAAATCGCTTAAATCGACATTTTTGGCAAAATGCCTTAAAATCAATCATTTTCGGTTTAAAACCGTAACAAAAGCTTTGGCAAAATGCCTTAAAATTAAACACTCTTTTTGGCTAAAAGCCTCAAAATCAATCATTTTGGCGACAATCGCCTAAAATCAATCATTTTGGCAATCAAATTGCCTAAATCACTCTTTTTCAATCATTTTCGGTTTAAAACCGTAAAATCAACCTTTTAAGCGACAAATCGTTTAAATGAATCATTTTGGCATAAATGCCTAAATCAATCAATTTTCGGCAAAATGCCTAAACAACATGCACGAAGCATACGCACACCCATGCATTAAGCATACCATTTAAAGCCCTCTAAAAGAGGCCTATCGAACTACGTTGACTTTGATCTTCCATTCAAACGGAAGTACGTAGGCACGTTCGGGATTTCACCCCGGGCATGTTGACTTTGATCTTCCATTCAAACGGAAGTACGTAGGCACGTTTGGGATCTAACCCCGAGCGACAAGTCAAGATCACATAAACATTTTTCATTGGTCCAAATTACATCATCTTTCACCTTGCAAAGCATTCATTCATAGGTTAGTTCATCAAGCATGACATAGTCTCAGGATCCACCTCGGGTTCGCAGACCATACCTTGATCTTTGGGTTAATTAATCTAGCAATTAGGTTAATTAAAATTGGAGTCACTTAGGGTTTTTTTCCTAGTTTACCCTAAAATAATTAAACAAGGTGGCCGGTGCGACTCACACACTCACGCTGATTTCTTCCTTTAGTCACATGCATTTCATTATGCCGAGTGAATATCTTTCGGGGCAGGGGTACACAGAACCCTCAACCTTAATTAAAATAAAATCAATTAAAATTGTTGAGTTGATTGATAAATATTAAATAAATTGTTTATTGTTGTTTGTCTGTTAATCATTAAGTATGCTCTGTGGATGCAGTCTTTAGTTCTGAATCTTCCACATCAGAAATTTGTTTTGGAATTGTATGTTGTCTTATAAATTGATAGTATTGATATTCATCTGCTGGAAACCCAGAAGTGCGGGCTACTGGTCCAAAACTATTTAATAGTCATCTTTCTTGTATAACAACGCCATGTATCATACTTTTAATAATGCCAATACATAATGTTATATTAAATACCTTTAATAAATACCTTAAATCGGACAGTTGTAATTATTGTATATGATTTAGATTTAAATAGATCTTTTACTTATTTCTTCCCATTCAGTATATTTATTACTTAGTGTTTAGATTCGGGCGATCTTTGGGTTGTAATTGGTATCAGAGCATTTTTGAGTCCATTTGGCTTAGATGGATTTTAAATACAAATTTAATTTTAATGTGCTGCAGTGTACCGATTTTCCACATTCCAGGGAGAACATTCCCTGTGAATACTTTGTACAGTAAAAGTCCCTGTGAAGATTATGTTGAAGCTGCAGTGAAGCAAGCTATGTGAAGATTATGTTGAAGCTGCAGTGAAGCAAGCTATGACCATCCACATTACCAGTGCACCAGGCGATATTCTGATATTTATGACTGGCCAAGACAAAATTGAAGCGGCCTGTTATGCCCTTGCTGAGCGCATGGGACAACTCATCTCTTCGTCAAATAAAGCAATACCTAAGCCCTTGATACTGCCTATATACTCCCAACTACCAGCTGATTTGCAAGCAAAAATATTCCAAAAGGCGAAAGATGGGGCCCGAAAATGCATTGTTGCCACCAACATTGCTGAAACATCATTGACAGTTGATGGAATTTTTTATGTCATTGACACAAGGTATGGTAAAATGAAAGTTTACAATCCTAGGATGGGTATGGATGCTCTCCAAGTTTTTCCTGTTAGCCGCGCTGCTGCTGATCAGCATGCTGGACGTGCGGGTAGAAATGGCCCTGGTACATGTTATAGGCTTTATACAGAAAGTGCTTACGTAAATGAAATGCTGCCAAGTCCAGTGCCAGAGATCCAGAGGACCAACCTTGGTAATGTGGTTTTGTTGCTGAAGTCTCTCAAAATTGATAACTTGCTAGATTTTGATTTCATGGACCCACCTCCATAGGATAACATCCTCAATTCAATGTATCAGTTATAGGTCCTGGGTGCACTTAACAATGTTGGAGGTCTAACTGATCTTGGCTGGAAAATGGTGGATTTCCCATTAGACCCTCCACTTGCTAAGATGCTGTTGATTGGAGAACAGCTGGGATGTATAAATGAGGTTTTGACGATTGTGTCGATGCTTTCAGTGCCATCAGTGTTTTTTCGCCCCAAAGATAGAGCAGAGGAAAGTGATGCTGCAAGGGAGAAATTTTTTGTTCCTGAATCTGACCACTTAACTTTGCTTAATGTTTACTTGCAATGGAAAGAGCACCAGTATCGGGGAGATTGGTGTAATGATCATTTTCTGCATGTCAAAGGATTACGGAAGGCTAGAGAAGTCAGATCCCAGCTGCTGGGTCAGTCCCAGCTGAGATTGGTGTAATGATCATTTTCTGCATGTCAAAGGATTACGGAAGGCTAGAGAAGTCAGATCCCAGCTGCTGGATATTCTCAAAACTTTGAAAATCCCATTAACTTCTTGTGGGCATGATTGGGATGTTATAAGGAAAGCAATTTGTTCTGCTTATTTCCACAATGCAGCAAGGTTAAAGGGCGTCGGGGAATATGTCAACTGCAGGAACGGAATGCCATGCCATCTTCACCCGAGTAGTGCGTTGTATGGCTTAGGTTACACTCCTGAGTATGTGGTCTATCATGAATTGATTTTGACAACGAAGGAGTACATGCAGTGTGCCACTGCGGTGGAGCCTCAGTGGCTGGCTGAGCTGGGGCCAATGTTCTTCTCTGTGAAGGAATCAGACACATCCATGTTGGAGCATAAGAAAAGGCAGAAAGAAGAAAAAACTGCAATGGAAGAGGAAATGGAAAATTTGAGGAAGGAGCAAGCAGAGGTAGAGAGGGAAAGCAAGGAAAAAGAGAGGCAAAAGAGGGCAAAGCAACAGCAGCAAGTCTCAATGCCAGGGCTGCCACAATGCACTTCCACTTACCTGAGACCCAAAAAGCTCGGTTTGTGAATGTCAACTAGGGCTGTCCACATCGCTTATTCGGGTTATCAGTGCAAGTGATACAAAAAGCGGACAGAGCACTAAACACGTTAGAGATGAATCTGTTGGTGAACTGGATAGAAAATTTAAAATGTTCCAACTGGGTCCAAAATAACCCAAATTGAACCGCCTAACCAGTATGTATTTATCTGTTGAATGTTATTAACATCTACCTACTATAACAGATGTTGTACAAGGGCGAAGAAAATCATTAGTTGATATATATATATTTTAATGTAAATATGTAGCCATAATATTGGAGTGCTTCAGTGAGCATACTGGTCGGATAATTTATTGCCTTGTGTAGCAGAAACTGTGCATTGCAGGTAAGGATGTTAGGCGTTGTTTTGATGGGATTTACACGGCTGGCTATTGGTATGACGGAGCGCCTAGATGTCTTATGAGATGCAAACAAGACGCTAGTAGAGAAAAAAGAATATAATTCTATTGATTCAGCATCTATGATATTTTTATTTTTGATACTTTTTTTTTCTGCTAAATAACCATCTGTTTTTTGTATCATTGAATTAATTCTTGATTTAACTATTAGTTTAAGGCTCATTAACATTAATTCTGTCTTGCTACTTTATTTATGTACGGACAGAATTTTCCCCATTCATTTATTTCAATAATCATAATAATATAATATGAGGTGAGCCATTTTGTGTTTGTGTAAAAAGTATCATTCAATTTCTTCTTGTAAATTTCATTTCAAGATGGCAACGAATGCATTTATAATACAGAGTTTAAAATTATACTATAATTGTCTTAATATTAACACAGTTGATAATCCACTTTAGTAGCATAATTTGAAAATTGTACTCTTAATCAATTTACTTGACTGAATAATCTCAAAAAACTTTCTGAGTTGAATTTTGACTTAGTCCACCAACCAACCTCGGCACAGGATGCGCCAAGGAAAAACGAAACGAGAAGAGCACGCGCCCATCGACCTCGAAAATGGGCAGCCGTAGGGATGCATTGTCCTCTATCTATAACCAAGACGACTCTTGACAATAGATATCTCGCCTCTCGCATTGATGAAGAACGCAGCGAAATGCGATACTTGGTGTGTGATAAGGATCCGGGATCGGGAATCAAAGGAATGAGATGTAAGTTCGCCTCTATGGCACCCCACATTTATAATGAAACGGAAACACCAATAATTTATTAATGAAAACGGGAAACAACCAATAATCGAGATTAACGCTCTATGGCACCCCACGTTTTATAATGAAACGGTTAACACCAATAATCGAGCAAAGAAACAAGATAAAACGCCCACAAACGCGAATTTGTAAGTTTACCTTAATTCTTGATGCAATTAAGAGGATTAGCAAATTCTCAAACAATCACTTCTAATTTAAGAAGAACATGCAACGAGCATGAACAATCTGTCTTTGATTCAAATTATGCCAAAAAATCCCGTTTTACTTCTTAAGGAGGTATTATATGCCTTTAAACAAGACATAACCCTAAAGAAGCAGCATCTAACTTAGGCTGCCCTAGGGCCAAAAACACATGGGCTTAACTCTAAAACACAAAATAAAGTCATTTCCAGCAAAACAAAACAACTTAATATTTGGGCAGATTGCATGCATCATAAATACCAACCCAAAACAACTTAATTAACACTATGAGCCCATATCCCTTACCATATTAATTAGACCAAAACAAGCAACAAGGGATCTAAGAAACACGTTCGAAGCCACTAGGAAGGCACCAAATGGAATCCATTATCAGTGGAATTGCCAGAATCTCGCGAAACCATCGAGTCTTTGAACACAAGTCTTTGAACACAAGTTACTCCCGCAGCCTTTTGGCCGAGGGAACATCTTCCTGGGAATAACACAACATCGCTCCCACCGTGTGAGGGGGTGAATTCTAGCCTCCCGTGTGCCGGTCGCCTGCGGTTGGCCCAAAAGCCTAGTCCCTGGCGGCGAATGCCATGACAATCGTTGGTTGAGTCTTTGAACACAAGTTACTCCCGCAGCCTTTTGGCCGAGGGAACATCTTCCTGGGAATAACACAACATCGCTCCCACCGTGTGAGGGGGTGAATTCTAGCCTCCCGTGTGCCGGTCGCCTGCGGTTGGCCCAAAAGCCTAGTCCCTGGCGGCGAATGCCATGACAATCGTTGGTTGATGACAATCGTTGGTTGCAAGACTCTCGGACACGGCCCTGTGCGGACGCATGCCTTAGAACAGTGAGACCCAAATGCGTCGGTAAGGGCGCACTACCATCGCTACCCCAGGTCAAGCGGGATTACTCGATGAGTTTAAGCATATCAATAAGCGGAGGAAAAGAAACTTACCAGGATTCCCCTAGGAACGGCGAGCGAAACAAGAAATGCCCAGCTTGAGAATCGGACGCCCTCGGCGTCTGAATTGTAGTCTAGAGAAGCGTCCTCAGCGACGGACCGGGCCTAGGTCCCCTGGAAGTGGGCGCCGGAGAGGGTGAGAGCCCTGTCGTGCCCGGAGCCTGTCGCACCATGAGGCGCTGTCTGCGAGTCGGGTTGTTTGGGAATGCAGCCCAAATCGCGCTGTCTGCGAGTCGGGTTGTTTGGGAATGCAGCCCAAATCGGGCGGTAAATTCCATCCAAGGCTAAATACAGGCGAGAGACCAATAGCGAACAAGTACCGTTAGGAAAAGATGAAAAGGAATTTGAAAAGAGAGTCAAAGAGTGCTTGAAATTGTCAGAAGGGAAGCGGATGGGGGCCCGCGATGCGTCCCGGTCGGATGTGGAACGGCGACAAACCGGTCTGTCGATCGGCTGGCGACGCGGACCGATGCGGATCGCTGTGGCGGCCCAAGCCCAGGCTTTTGATACGCCCGTGGAGACGCCGTCCCGACGATCATGGACCACAGCATATGCCTTCAAGGCGTGCCTCGGTACTTGCGCGCTCCCGTCGTCAGCCAGTGGGCTCCCTAGGCGAGTAAACCCGTAAGGCTCAAGGAAGCTGACTGGCGGGATCCCCCCCGTGGGTTGCACCTCCGACTGACCTTGATCTTTTGAAGGGTTTAAGTGAGAGCATGCCTGTCGGGACTCGAAAGATGGTGAACTATGCCTGAGCGGGCCAAAGCCAAAGGAAACTCTGGTGGAGGCCCGCAGCGACACTGACGTGCAAATCGTTCATCTGATTAGGGTATAGCGGGGAAAGACTAATCGAACTGCCTAGTAGCTAATTCCCTCTGAAGTTTCCCTCAGGATAGCTGGAGCTCGGGACGAGTTCTATCGGGTCAAGCTAATGATTAGAGGCATTGGGGGTTCAACGCCCTTGACCTTTTCTCAAACTTTAAATATGTAGGGAGACACGACTGCTTTGCTGAGCCGCACCATAGAATCGAGAGCTCCAAGTGGGCCATTTTTGGTAAGTAGAACTGGCGATGCGTTATGAACTGGAAGCCCAATTACGGTGCCCAACTGCACGCTAACCTAGAACCCACAAAGGGTGTTGGTGGATTAAGACAGCAGGACGATGGTCATGGAAGTCAAAATTCGCTAAGGAGTGTGTAATAACTCACCTGCTGAATCAACTAGCCTCGAAAATGGATGGCGCTAAAGCGTGCGACCTATACCCGACCGTCGGGCTAGATCCAGGCCCTGATGGGTAGGAAGGCATGGCGATCGCTGCAAAACCCGTGGCGCGAGCCTGGGAAGAGCGACTGTCGGTGCAGATCTTGGTGGTAGTAGCAAATATTCAAATGAGAACTTTGAAGGTCGAAGAGGGGAAAGTTTCCATGTGAATGACACTAGCACATGGGTTAGTCGATACTAAGAGACGGGGGAAGCCCGTCCGACAGTGCGTTCCTGTGCGAGCTTCGAAAGCGAATCGGGTTAAAATTCCCGAACTGGGACGTGAAGGTTGACG